TTTATTACAGAGTATTAATCAAACTTGGGAGCTGGCCGTGAGACAGACACATCGCAGATGACACAGAGCGCTGTGATCGCTCCTCTGAAACAGTTTATTGACGCATAAATTTATTTAAAATGCAGAAATCTGTCGGCAGAATATCCATCCATCCATCCATTTTCCTCCTCTTATCCGGGGTCGGGTCGCGGGGGCAGCAGCCTAAGAAGGGAGGCCCAGACTTCCCTCTCCCTAGCCACTTCTTCTAGCCCCTCAGGAGGAACCCCAATGCGTTCCCAGGCCAGCCGAGAAACATAGTCTCTCCAGCGTGTCCTGGGTCTTCTGCTCTGTACTTGTGGCAATGGAATGACAATAAAGTTGAATTCTATTCTGAAAGCTGATGGCTGGTTGGATGGATGTTGGGGAAGGATTCACCCTTGGTCTCAGGTCTCCTTGACTCACTGTGAGTTTGTTTGTGCGTGCCGCAGCTCTGTGTGGATAAGCATTGTATGAAAGGGCTGCCCAGGACTGTAGACAGTTGGTTTCTTATATAGTTTTGATTTATTTATTAAATAATCAGTTTATCAATATGAGCTCTAGGTGTTCAGAAAGTGTCCGGATATATGTTGTCTCATGGTGAATTCAGACTCAGTGTGGTGTCCACAGTTAGGGCACTGAATTTGCTTGGTATCTCTATGAAAACTGCACAGGAAGGGTTAGGGTGAGGCCAGCCATGAATTCCCTGCAGTGAGAGCTGTCACTGCTCTGCTCTCACCTCCTGCTGTCAGATAGAACTGAGGTGCTGACTAACAGCAGCGCCACATGGATAGAGAGGAGCATTGACTGATGAACTTTTTCTGTAAAATCATGTTGCGGCAACCAGTCATGGACTGGTTGTGGCTGTGACATTAAAGAACTTGCTTCCTCTCTCAGTCCAAAAACATGACTCTCTAATGTATCCTTGAGTGTGTGTGTGAGTGCATTGTTATATATCTTTAATTGTCTGGCGACCTGCCCTGGGTGTACGCCGCCTCTCGCCCGTAGTCTGTCGGAGATATGCCCCACTGTGACCCTGATGGACTATGCGTCAGAGATGATGGATGGTCACATTCTATGTGGCGGTTTTGACATATATCAACTTCACTTAATATGTATTTCTGAAATCTGAAACATTTATTTCAAGTCAAAATAATAAATATGACCACTAACAATAGAAATATGCAGATCTGAAATTCCTCTTTAGACATCAAGAATCTATATTGTATAAATGAAGAATGTCATAAAATCTTCATTTTGATTTCGTAGAATTGTATTTTAGATTTCAGAAATACATATTCAGTCTAACAAATAAATGTCAAAATGACCAGCCGTAGTCCTTTTTGACAACAACATTATGAGGGAAAACTAGTTTGCTACTGGAGTGGTAGTGGATCATTGTATTCTATTTAGGTGTAATCCCATGGGGGAGGAGCACATCTAGCAGCAGGGGATAATGAAGTATAAAAACATTGTCCTGTGCATCATCTCATGGGGTACCTCCTCATTTTATTCTGTCTTTAATTACGGAGTAAATATAAACTCTGAACAGTTTTTTATTATAAGACTGTTTCCACACTCATCAATTTTCTCTCAATGATATCAGGTTCTGTTTAATGCCTTTTAAAGAAGTCTGTATACTGCTGCTAATCTGAGGATGGATAAAGTTGTGGATTTATGTAATGAATCGTGAGGTGAAACGGTAGTACTCAAAGATTCTAAATATGAAAGGACTTGTACAAAGCAGTCTGAGAACACTGTCCTGACAAATATTCAATTCTCTACTAATTATTGGCGCTGCTTCTTTTATTGGATCCTTGTTCAAAGGACATGTAATGTTTGTTTTTAACTCCTAATGAGTCTAACCGACCTACTGACTGGTTTTCTTTTTATTGTTCGCACAGAACTACAACAGAACTCTCCTGACTAAATCAGTAATTGGAACTTTAAGGAGGGCTAATTTGATACAGAGGTTGAGTAATCTTGCATTGTTAAATGGAAAATTCTGAGTTCCCCTGATTTAAAGGTAAACCAAGTTAGAGATTTTATTAAGCCTCCTTTGGGAAATGGACCTCTGACGTACTTCTCTAAAGTGTATCGCTGTCCTCCTCCCAGCCAATCATAGCCTCTCATCCGGCTTAAGTGCTCTCAGGTTACTTTGATCTATCGCTATGCTCCTTCTGATCTAGCACAGGCAAGACGCTGCTCTACCTCAGTCTGGTCCTCATCTACCCAGCTACTGTTGTTCTCCTTAATCTAATGGTGCTCTGGTGTCCCAATGCTCCTGTCTAAGCTCCAGAAAGGTGCCTCGTCCTACCTCTGTTGTCCAGGGACACCGATGCCACCAGCTTTGTTTGTTCTAAAGTTTAAAAAAAGGACTGCGAGGCGCTCCGTAGAATACCTGTCCTCCATGTTTTCTGTAAAATTGTCTCTGGTCCTTCCTCAAGAAATCAGCATCTGACATCCTCTCAGGAAAATGCAAAATTTAGGAGTAGGGCTGAAATGTAGAGCTAGGGGGTATATTTGGATTGGCCCTTAGTCCTTCCAGTATTGTTCTGATGTTATTAATCTATCAGTATCACGTCTAACATTGTGTTTCAATGTGTTCTTTTACCGAGCAACCTAAACCCACATGCTGTTTGGTCTCAACCATCTTATTGTTTTAATTCATGAATACATCCAATATTTCACTGTATTAGTTTAGTTTACAAATTATTTCAAAATATACTGCTAGTTGGGGTAATGTGTTCAAAGTGATATGTAGTGTTGGTTGTCACCTTCACACATAGCATTTTTCAGTTGGATCAAAACTTTAAACTTGGTCTCTCCTGACCAAAGCATCTTTCTAGCTGTCGGAAACATGGCTTCTGGAAAACTGCAAGCAGGACTTGTTATTATTTTCTTTGTACATTCTTTGTTTTCTTTCCATTTTCCTATAAAGACCCAATTCACGCAGTGTATGACTAACAGCTATCCTATGGACAGATTCCCCCACCTGAGCTGTGGATCTTTGCAGTTTGTCCAAAGACACCATCGGCATCGTGGTGGCATTTCTGATCAGTGCTCTCCTTCTTCTGCCAGTGTCAGGATTTGTTTGTGGGTTGAGGCCCAAAAAGCAGAGGCAGGCAGGCAGAGGTGAATTTATGGTTGATTTTATAAAGACTGAACTGAAAAAAACAAAGTTCAAAAAAACAAACAAGAAACCAGGAGTCAAAAATTCAAAACATGAAAAGATAAGTCAAAAACAAACCAGAAAACCATGGAGACATCAGGGAATCAAAAATAAAGGAGGAGGGATCAGAGAGACGAGGTTAGAGCATGTACTGTAAGACAAGGACCCAGCAAAGAGGAACTGAACAGAGAGAGCTTATAAAGGAGACAGAGACAAAATAGGGGATAATGAGCAGATAGGAAACAGGTTGGCATGGGAGCAGAAACAAAACAGGAGCTAGGGAAAAAGGAGAACAAGAGTGAAGCAGAGGGCAACAAATGAAACACCTGGAAGACTAACTAGAAAATACAACAAAATAATAATTAAACCACGAAGACTAAAAAACATTGAGAAAAGTAAAACTAAACACAAGAAAACATAACACAACCAAGACTGAAACAGTAACTAGGAATAAACTAGAGAACACAGCAAAATAAAAATAAAACCACTAACACTAGAAAACAAGGAGCAAAGCAAAATTGAACACTAAAAGGAAAATATAACAGAACTAAGACTAGGACAGTTATTGAGAAAAAAACAAAGAACACAACAAACTAAGATTTAAACCATAAAAACTAAGAAACAATGAGAAAAGCAAAACTGGATACTGAAAAAAAAAACAGAAACCGAACAGCCAGTAAGTTAAGGTGGATGGCCTTGTTTTTGTAGATTTACAGTTGTGCCATATGTTTTCCATTTCCAGTTGATTTACTGAGATGTTCAGAGCTTGGAAAATCTTTTTATAGCCTAANCTCTGAGTATAAGTTACCTCTCTTTCAGAAACGGGCTTGACTTACTCTGCTTTCTCAGGTTTAACTTACCTCCCTTTCTGAAACAGAAAACCTAGAGTTTCCCTCATTTCAGGGTTAACAAACTCAGAGTTTTCACTTAACCTCCTTTCTGAAACAGGCCCCAGGAGTCAAAAATTCAAAACATGAAAAGAGAAGTCAAAAACAAACCAGAAAACCATGGAGACATCAGGGAATCAAAATTAAAGGAGGAGGGATCAGAGAGACGAGGTTAGAGCATGTACTGTAAGACAAGGACCCAGCAAAGAGGAACTGAACAAAGAGAGCTTTTAAAGGAGACAGAGACAAAGAGGGGGCTAATGAGCAGATAGGAAACAGGTGAGTACAGAGCAGAAACAAAACAGGAGCTAGGGAAAAAGGAGAACACAAGAGGGAAGCAGAGGGCAACAAATGAAAAACCTGGAAGACTGACAATAATTAGAAAATACAACAAAATAATAATTAAACCACAAAGACTAAAAAACATGAGGAAAAGTAAAACTAAACACAAGCAAACATAACAGAACCAAGACTGAAACAGTAACTAGGAATAAACTAGAGAACACAGCAAAATAAAAATAAAACCACTAACACTAGAAAACAAGGAGCAAAGCAAAACTGAAAACTAAAAGGAAAATATTACAGAACTAAGACAAGGACAGTTACTGAGAAAAAAAAACAAATTCTACAATAAACTAAGAATTAAACCATAAAAACTAAGAAACAAGAAGAAAAGCAAAACTGGATATTGAAAAGAAAAACATGAAAGAAAACAGAAACCGAACAGCCAGTAAGTTTAGGTGGATGGTCTTATCTTTGTAGATTTACAGTTGTGACATGTTTTCCATTTCCAGTTGATTTACTGAGATGTTCAGAGCTTGGAAAATCTTTTTATAGCCTAAACCTGCTTTAAATATCTCCACAACTTTGTTCATCTGGTGTGATCCTTAAACGTCATGATGTTCTTTGCTCCCATTTGTTCTCAGAACTAACCTGTGCAGCTGTCAAAGAGCAGTGGTATTCAGGTGTATTTGTACTGAGATTAGATTACATACAGGTAAACTCTCTTTAGTTATTACCAATTATCAGGTAACATCTAAATGCAAATGGTTGCACTCAGAAAATGGGGCTGAATATTTTTACACACCAGACTTTTTAGATTTTTTTTAATTTAATATAAAAAATAATGTATTCTTAATGTAAGCTGAAGAGCACTTTGTTGTGATCTTTTCATTTAAATATCCAATAAAATATTTTTACATTTGTAATGTGACAATATGCTGAGAAGTTCAAGGAGTATTAATATTGTAACAACTGTTAAGTATCATAAATGATGTAAAATGAAATAATAGTCTGATTATTGCATTTATTGACATTTTTGATCAGCATTTTCTGTTACAAATTAAAATTCACTGAAAAAAACCAAACATAGATTTACCCAACACAGCTCAACATGACCAGGAAAAAAAGAGTTGAAAAGACCAAATATTGAAAAATATGTCACTTGAAAAAACATCAGATTTTAAACCTAAAATTAATCATAAAAACACAAAAAGCATTTGTTGCTCATTAAATAACATCTTTCAAGAATTTAAATCCTAAATATTATTAAATCTTTTTGTTCAACAACTGAAATTAATATATTTTTTTTTTATGATTTATTAATCCAATTTTAAAGCATAAAATAACTCTCCATGATAAGTTCATTACATCAAGATAAAAAGACAAGATGTTTACACAACCACCATCAATATTAATATAATATTATACTTCATATCAATCAAGGAAAACAACAACAATATACAAGATTAATATAAGGAAAAATATTTAAAAGTTTTCTTGAAGATATTTTAGTTTTACTTAACTTACAGAACAATTGAATCAGGAAGTTTGTACCAAATGCTTTTCTATTCATTTTGCAACATCTCTTACATCAGTATTTCTCATTAATGTTGACAGGCAGACCTCCGACTTGAGGGACACATTTTTTTCCATCCAGATTTTACATTGCATCTAGACTCTTAATGGCCTCTTCCTTACTACACATTGTCCACTGCTGAGGGATTTCTCCATTACCATGGAATTTCTTCCTATAGTATTCTTCCAGTTTCTCTTGAAAGTGACAGACAAACCATTTCCAGTAGGGCAGCATAGAGTTATCAGGTGTGATGCTCCATGCAGCAAATCTTTCTCCAGCAGTTGCATACTCTTTCCAAAGAACTGTACGGTCTGAATCATCGGGGTAAAAGCTTCCATCACTTGCTACAGCTGTAGTGCAGAATTCTGTGGACAGCTGATCTGTTCCTGTGTAATGGACACCATTAACTCCACGGGGACGATGAAAAAGAGCACTGTGCTTATCAGAACTGTGGTCCTTTACAGTATTGGTGCAAACTGTAGAACAGAAAGGACATATTTCCCAGCAGCAGTTACACAACTGATCAATGAGGATTTGTTCAGGACTCTGCCTGCATTTATTCACCTCAATCAGTGAGAGATTGCTCATTTCCTCTGTGATTATATTAAGGCCTTTCTCCATCTCTTCTTTAAGAAAGTCAAAGTCGTTTATATCCTTGAAGTCTTGACAAGTAATAGAATCAATTGTTAAGCTTTTCCCTAATTTAGTGGAAAACTCCTTCACCCACATCTCTATGTCTCCTCCTTTCTTTTTGACGTCTTTTGTGGTCTCAAACAAAGCCTGACCTATGGCCCCCCTGATGTCCTCTGTATTTTTCCTGATAATTTTCTGAGTTTCACTGTTCTCCATGGTAGACAAGTATCTCTCCACCTCTTCTTTAATAAAGGCCTCTAGTTGCTTTCTTGGATCTTTGATGTAGGTGATGAAACTGTTAAAGTCTTCCTTCTCTGCCATACTCTTTAAGAAATGTTTCTCTAAGTTCACTCTGTTCCCATTGAATGCTGGGATCCTGCACCTCATCTCTTCAGCTATATAAGCCCCAGTCTTGTTACAGACAGCTGCAACAGCAGAGGCTTTGAGTTTTTTACACATCATTTCTCCAAACAACACAGCAGAAGAGCTTCCTTTGCAGAAGCTTTGGAAAATGCTGTAATATTCATTTTTCTTGCTTTCTAAATAAGTCTCAACATCATTGTTGTCTTTGTATGTCTTGTAGGAGTTTAAGAGCCAACTTTCTGCCATGCCAAACACAAACAGTGAAAAATCAACTGTGAACTCCTTCTTGAATACATACTTCCTTCCAGATTCAAATGCTTTTATGTGTTTTATAATGCTTTGAGCCATGTCTGATAAGTAGGTTGATGTGTAACCTCTTGTTGTAACAGGTTTGCTCTTAAGGGCATCCAGACATTTTTTTTCAACCTCCTTAATGAGCAATCTGATATCTTCTTGCTCTTTAAATACAAAAAACCTTTTGAATCTCTCCATGGCACCCGCTAAGTTCTTCTTTGGTGTTATGTAATCAGAATAATTACCAATTTCAGAGAGGTTTTTGTATTTCTGATTTTTTTTTGATTCATCAATGAGCTTCGGTTCAACACCAATATCTAAAAGGACATCAACCTGGTCTGTTTCCAAATTAATGTTTTCAATAGGTTTTGTATCTGAGGTTAGTTCCTTAACCCAGTGACTCCAAACAGCATTAAACTTTGCTTTTAATTCCTCTTCATATTTTTCAAGGCATTTTAACTTGTGAGCAAGCTCTTTGCTGTGCTGCAGCAGCTTGTTCTCAAAAGTTGTCTTTTTGTCGTCAAGCTTTGTTCGGGCATTTTTCAGCTGGATTACTTCATCCAATTTTCTTTCCATGTCTCTCACAATGTCCTCATGAAAACCTTTAATTTTGTTCTCAAATCGACCCTGCCACTGAACCAGCATTTCTTTGTCTTTGTTGTCATTAAAATAAGCTGCCATCTTTTTCATCACTTCTTCATATTTGTTACTCATTTGATTGGAAAGGTCAGTGAGTTCAACATCGTCCAGTTGACCTTTTTCAATTTTGGGAAAAAGCTGGTTTTCAACATTCAGCATCTCACTTCTCAAGGCCAAGGTCCAGTTTTCGTACTGCACCTCCAGTTCTCTATAGACTGCAATTTCTAGAGTATTTTTGAAGCTAAAACCAAAGTGTTCATTCATCAAGGCGTTCCACAAGTCCTGGATCTTAGTACCAAAATGTGAGAGAAGAATGCCATCAGACTTTGAGGCCTTAGACAGAATGGAGGCCTTCAGTTCTTGGACACCCTCACTGTACCCTGGATTTGGAGGAGCCATTGGTGGACTTCCCTCCCATAACTGAGCAAAGTATTTAACATCTTCTTGCACATCAAATGAAATGACATCACTGAAGCACTCAAAAGCACAGCCTTCCTCTTCAGCAGCTAACTGAGTCATTGCATCTAGTTTTTCCTGCAGGCGTCTTTTTCCATCCATGTTTTTCTCTGCTGCTGCAATATCTGTGACATTCTGATGAACAAACACACAACTTGGAGAAAGCTTGACTTTCTTCATCCTCATGAAAGCCTGCACAACAATCTGTAAGATATCTTGCATATCAGCAGGATTCTCACCAAAGATATTGATCAGTGTCAGGTTTCCTAGACCAACTACAAATGTTGCAAGCTCATTATCGTGATGAAGGGTAGCATTGCCTGCTAACTCAAGAGCACGTAGTCCTTCAGTGTCCACAACTAGAATATAGTCAAATCTGTAGTCTTTCTGGATTTCCTCTGACAGCTTAAGCAGCTGCATGTAAGCACCCTTGGTGCACCTCCCAGCACTCACTGCAAACTCGAGTCCAAACATGGCATTCAGCATTGTTGACTTTCCACTGCTTTGTAAGCCCAGCACTGACAGCACAAAGACTCTCTGGTCACCTAGCTTCTTGATGATCTCCTGTATAAGACTAGAGATCCATATCAAAGGCACATGGCCTGCATCACCATCCATCAGCTCCATTGGGTGTCCTTTTATCATCAGATCTGCAGCCAGTTCAGGGTATTTAGTCCATTCAGCCTGTTGGCCCTCTGCTGGTTTCTCCAGAGATTTATGGGCTTCATAGATCTGTCCCATTTCTCTAAACATGTGC